TTGAACCGCCAGCCTTCTGGTTAGCATCAGATGGCTTAGGCACAATTAGCAACCAATTAGTTAGCCACTGCACCAGTAGGGCTCCTTGCCTCAAAGTGGTAAGATGATTAAATGAAATATAGGAGCTCTGGTGGCGTAGTGCCTAAGGCACTTGACTGCTAACCAACCAGAAGGCTGGTGGTTCAAACCCACCAGCTACTCCTCGGAAGGAAGACTGGGCAATCTACTTGCATAGAGATATTGCCTAGGAAACCCAAGGAGGGGTCGCTATGAGTTGCAACCGACTCGGCAGCAGTGAGTTTGGTTTGGTTTGGTTTGTCAACTCCTGAGCTTAGTTGCTGATATATATTAATTATTATTATTCATTTAATCATAATAGAAAGCTAATTGTGCAATATTTGTAGTTGTTGTTATGTGCCGTCGAGTCGGACCCGACTCATAGCGACCCCTCCTTGGGTTTCTGAGGCGGAAGTAGATTGCCCAACCTTCTTTCTAAAATATTTGTAGAGTCCATTGTTTTCCCAAGGAAACCACAAGAAAAACAGATTCCAGCTATTTGGATTGCAACATCTTGATTTTGCCATATCCGTTTTCTCCAGAAACACCTTTTCTCTCCACATCCTAAAAGACAGAATAGTTATACTTTGTTTTTAGAAGTTTGTTGTATTTCTTGGTATAATTCTTGAGATTTAAGACCAAAGGAAAATCAGAGTTAGGAATAAATGTGACTGCCTGGGTTTATTTTGAAAAGCTGTAATATAGTTGTTTACATTTCTCTGATGGGAAAAATATTTAATTGCTCTTTTTCTAATTGAGCATCTTTGTGGGTGATCTGGCCTAAATGAATGATAAATTAGTACTCTGAAATGTAAGAAGGTAAATTATAGCATGAGATTATGAAAATGACTACAGTTACAGGAAGTGTGTAAGAATCAGGGCACCGTGGGTGGAGGCGTTACCCAGCTCTTGTGGAACAGACCACATTCCTGAAGTGAAGTAAGCAGTGAGGGAAAATGTTTGAAAACAGCTTCAACCCAAGAGAAGAGGCCAACGAATAGGGCACAGTGAGGATGTTTAAGGAGAAAATTATGCATGGAGGGATGACACAGGGAAGAGGTGACTGTTGGGAGGAAGTAGGAGGGGAGCTGTTGCATTGTGGGAAATTGTAGTCAATGTCATGAGACAAAGTGTGTGTGAACTGCTGTATGGAAAGTGAATTTGCTCTGGAAACTTTCACCCAAATCACAATTAAAAAAAAAAGACAAAAGTCCCTAACCCTGCTAGGGGACATTTCACAATCTCAAAAAAAAAAAAGGGGGGGGGGAATTATTCCACAGACTTAGTATATTATGATTCTCTTGTTTCTTATGATATAGATGCTTTATTGGAGGAGCTGGAAAACTCCACCCTGCAGGACAGTGATGAGTATTCCAACCCAGCCTCTCTTCCCCCGGATCAGCACTCCAGAAAGGAATCTAACCTTGCTGAGAAGTCAAAGGTTCCTTCCGTTCACGATGACTCAGCTCCCTATCAGGTGACTTTTCAACTACTGTAGTGCCTTGACTGTAGATGCTTGAATGTGCTCTTGAAAACTAATTACATCCTACCTAAAATGAGATGAAAGGAGGATCATATATCCAAAGAAGGGAGAGAAAAAAAAAATCTCTCAATGGTAATTTAAAGGTGGTTGTTTTTGAAAAGAGGGGAATTGAGAAAGTGTTCAGAGAATAAGCTTTTGAGAATTACATTTTTCTAAAAAGGGAATGGTAGTAGGTAGATGAAGCCCTCATTCACTGGAATATTCTGATATTACTGTCTGTGCATCAGGGGTCCTGCTGCAACTTGGCTGGAATTGCACTCAGTCGGGATAGAGACCATCTGGAGAAGGGTCATCACCTTCTGAGTCTGATTTTCTGCTGAATACGTTAGGAAAATAAACTAATAGTGTACCCAGAGAGTATGACGCTCTAGGGAACCAACGCACGCTAACTAAACTCACAAGAGATTGTGTGTGTGTGTGTGTGTGTGTGTTATGTATGGATATATAAAACACACACACACACAAACACAAAGAAAAAACAAATGATTAGAGTTCAAGCTATCAAGTAGAACAGATACAGATAATAATTATTTGCTGATACATGTATTCTCTTCCTGTCTTCATGAACCCATGTTGCAATTAGAAGGTTGCTTCATGAGAATTGAATTAGCATAAGAGGGATCAAGTACTTGCTCTTTGAAGAGATCGGCTGCTGTGGAATAGCCAACAACTCCGGCCTGAATTTTGAGCTCATTGGTAGGTTACCCCTCTAACTGTTCTTCCATCCAGCCAAATGCACACAATTTTAATATCAGAGTATTCTGATATTACTTGTCTGTGCATTTATCTCTCTGCTAGGGAGTCATTAAGGAACCTCGGTAGTGTAGTGGTTAAAGTATTCAAGTGCTACCCAAAAGGTGGGCGGTCTGTGGGAAAAAGATGAGGCAGTTTGCTTCTGTAGAGATTTATAGCCTCGGAAACCCTATGGAACAGTTCTGCTCTGTCCCACAGGGTTGCTGTGAGTCGGAATGGACTCAGTGGCAGTAGGTTGGATGTTTTGATTCGGGGAGTTCTTGCCTTTATTCTCACTGCTGGATTATAACAATAGCTTCTGACTGGTCTCCCATCCTTGCCCCCTTCCAGTGTATTATTAACATAGCAATCGCCAACCAAACCAGACTCCCTGCCATCAAGCCCATTCCGACTCATGTGACGCCCCCAGTAAGGTTGCCAAGTCTCCAGATATTTACAAAAGCAGACTGCCTCATCTTTCTTCCGCAGAGCAGCTGGTGGGTTTGAACCACTGACCTCTTGGTTAACAGCCAAAGGCCTTAACCACTATGCTACCAGAACTCCTCATAGCAGCCACAGGGAGCCTTTAAAACTTAAATCAGATGATGTCATTCTGCCACCGAAAGCCCTGAAATAACATGCCATCTCAATAAAAGTCGCAGTTCTGACGCGCAGTGCTGTCTCCCCTGGAACAACCAGGGATCAGGCCTATTTTCCTAACATCCCATTGATTTAGCCTTTACCCCAGATTTTTTATATTTTTATCAACTTGAATTGTTTGCATTTGCATTAAAATGAGCCACAAAGGTCAACAGACCTCCTTTTGGTTCTTCTGGCTTCTTCTATGGTCTCATCTAGTAGTGGTTAAAACACATGTGCAGAGAACAGAGTTCTCATTTTATTATGGCTACATCCCAAAGATGACTCATGATAACTCATCCTTCTTTTCCACATCCTGGTCAGACAAAACGTAACTAGCAACATCCTTTTAAGGATAATATTCAGGGTGCTATCTGTTAAAGAAGCAGCTCTGGTAGCATAGTGCCTAAGGCACTTGACTGCTAACCAGAAGGCTGAGGGTTCAAACCCACCAGCCACTCCTCGGAAGGAAGATGGGGCAATCTACTTCCGTAGTGATACTGCCTCCGCAACCCAAGGAGGGGTCGCTATGAGTCAGATCCGACTCGACGACACAAAATAACAACAACAACAACATCTGTTAAAGAAGGAAACTCGGTGGCATCATGGTTAAGTATGTGGCTACTAACCGGACTGTCAGTCGTTCAAACTCACCAGCCACTCCATGGGAGAAAACATCTGGTAATCTGCTTCCATAAAGATTACAGCCTTGGATACTTTGTGGGGCAGTTCTACTCTGACCTACGGGGCTGTATGTAGTAAGTGGGACTCAACTCAACAGAGAGTGGGAAACAGCTCAAGGCAACAGGTTATTTGCTAAAGCTAACTTAAGCACAAGCAGCTAGGAATAGCTCCCTCTTGCTGTTACATTGTGGCAGGAAAATTTTGATGGTACTTTTCCTGCTGGTTACTTGTTGTAACACCACTTTTGCCCTGGCCCGAATGGTGGCCTGTGAGATGCGTGAAGCTTCCTCAGGGTCAGAGTAGCTAAGTATCGAATAAATTATATTTAGGAAATGAGGCTGAGGATTCTGGCCACATAGAGCATAATGTAGTTTAAATATTCTTGTTATAGCAGTTTTAGCATTAATTACATGTATATATACATTGCTGCTGTGGTTTGTGTGTAGTTGTAGTGTCGCTATGAGTTGGAATTCACTGAATGGCAATGCATTTCCAACGTAAACTATTTCTTTTATTATTATTTGATAGGGAGCTTTGGTAGCGTAGTGCCCAAGGCATTTGACTGCTAACCAGAAGGCTGGCGGTTCAAACCCACCAACCACTCCTTGGAAGGAAAGACTGGGCAATCTACTTCCATAGAGATACCACCTTGGAAACCCAAGGAGGGGTCGCTATGAGTTGGGTCTGACTCAACAGCTCATAACAACAACAACATTATTTACTAACACTTTTTAATTTTGCAATAAGCTCTCTATTTTTTTTTTTAGCAGCAATTGACTCAAATACAAGACAAAACCAAAAGTACAGGTTTAATTTTCTCAAGGAAGTTTGTTGTTGTTGTTGTTGTTATGTGCTGTCGAGTAGAATCCGACTCATAGTGACCCCTCCTTGGGTTTCCAAGGCAGTATCACTACAGAAGTAGGATTGCCCAACCTTCCTTCCGAGGAGTGGCTGGTGGGTTT